TATCCTCCCGATATGATATGAATGTAATCTTTGAATTTTGTTGTAACTAACCCACGCCGTGATTTGTAGAATGCAAGTGCACATTGTCAAACAAATGCCAAGTGTGAAAGCCGGGTATGTAGACCCTCAAGCTATAGCTCAAACAAATTTTAATTACCCTAAACGGTGGACTTTGGATGCCAAAGAGCTAGCAAACCAAAGACTCTTCGGGAGAAAGAGCGCATCCAGAAAAGTGGTTGGCTAAGGAAGAGTCCCTTAAGGTTGCGGCATACATTGCTCGGCTTTCAAAAATCTCCAACAACACTCTACTATATGGCTACCATACAACTTCGAGTAAGTTCAACTATAACTTAAAGCTATGTTCGATATATTTTATTCGATGTAAAAGAGCTTATCTAGTTCTATGATTAAATCCATGCAAAGCAACCTAATGGATTTGTATAGCCGTCGATCGGGAAGAGCATGGCATGGGTCTTTGATTCAATAGATAAGGACCCGGCGACATACAAAGACTTCATATCGATTCTCAAGGCGTATACATATCGACAATCCTCATTAGCTTATATGTCCAGTATACATACTTGTAACGTTCACTTATGCATACTAACAAGTTGTATTTGCTAAAAAAATTCGAACAGGCATTTAGGTTCTATGTCTCTCATCATCACGGAAGGCATGATCCAATGAGGAAGAAAAAGCGGCTATAAAAACACTATATGCGGTAAGTGTAACTTACTTCTTGAGATTCCGTTACATGGTACATCAAAAGCATTACCTAATATTTTCATATGCAAAACACACGGTGCCCCAAGCAGAGGCACAGGAGTGTACATTGTGGATACTATATATGTTCTATGATGAGTAACACCGTGCCTCACAGGAGACACCCCTTAAGGGTAAGTTTGAACCTCTTCACCCGTAGTATAAAAACTTCATAAATGGTATGAAATACTAAACTGAAACTTGTTTTCTTGTAGTTGAGAGAAGAGAAAGGAATGAAAAGAGACCCATACAAGGATGACCAACTCTTAGAGCTCGTCGGCGACCTTTTGCAACTTCATATTGGACCAGATTGTACACGCCGAGGCGCCTACCATGATCGAGAGTCTGACTTAGGTACAAATCCTCAGTACCAACACCTTCATGAGACTAAAATGCTAGCTCTAGGACGTTGATAACAATGTGTATGAAATTTGTATATTTAATGATGGATTGTATATATATATCATTACGAATTGGACTTGTAATTGTACTTTATATAATACTATTGTGCTTGTAGTCGTGTTCGAACGTTGGTCGCGTGGCGTCGCAAATATGTGAACGCGGTTCGAACGTTGGTCGCGGGCGTTTGGCAACGCGGATCTTTGGATGGAATACTGTGAAACAAAAGCCTGGTCGAATTTGAATTGTAAATTTGAATTTTTTTTTGGAAAAGATCTTGTGTAGGGCGGTTCAACCGCCCTACAAATAGGTATTATAGAATGGCGGCACTATACCGCCCCTACAAATAGATTTGTAGGGCTGTTGGTTCTTGAGTCGCCTACAAATAGATTTGTAGGACGGGTTAATACCACCAGCCTTGCCCTACAAATCTATTTGTAGGGGCGGCTCAATCACCAACCGCCCCTATAAATCTATTTATAGGGGCAGTCTGGGAACCGCCCCTACAAATACATGATTTGTAGAGACGGTTCGGTAGGGGCGGCTGGCCAAACCGCCCCTACAAAGGGTTACCAACTGCCCCTAAAAATGCTTTTTGTAGTAGTGGTACTTCAACTAAAACACACATCATATTCTACTTGATTCACTGCATAGTGCCACAAATTACGGATCTACTACCGGTAACAGATCGCCGCGGCAAACATTTTTCTACGTATACCTACGTGCGTGCTCCGCGCCATACATGGGAAGGACCGGCCGGCCCCCAAGGTTATAAAAAGAGCACGAAATGCGTCGCGCTCGTCAGGCCATCGTCCTACGTCTACGTTCGCGCGGCACGTACACGTACCATTTGAACGCCGAGCGAGCAAATTAAAGCTAGGAACAATGGCCACCACCCGCCAACAAGCCACCGCGGCCGCCACCCTCGCGCTCCTCCTCCTCTCAGTCTCCGCCGCGTCGTCGTCGTCGTCGCCGCCCACGCTGCTGACGACGGCGGCGTCGCGCAAGGTGCTGCACGTACTGGAAGCTGGGCTGCCCGTGGGACGCGGTCAAGTTCGGGGCCTGCGTCGGCGTGCTCGGCGCCGCGGGCCTGCAGGCCGGCGCGCAGCTCGGGAACAAGTGCCGCGACGTCGTGCAGGGGCTCGCGGCGGCCGAGGCAGCCGCCTGCTTCTGCACCACCGTCAAGGAGACCGTGCTCGGCATCCCCACGGAGTGGGACGTCGGCGTCGGCGTCCTGGCCAGCGCCTGCAAGACGGAGCTGCCCCGCGGATTCAAGTGTGTCTGATGGCCATGGCCCTGCTTGCATGCACTTGCTGCTGTCATTGTGAAACTGAAACCCCAAACGTTATTTGATTTTACTGTGCCAAGTACTATAACATTTGCATCGTTTTGCCCTTAGCCTTGTGCAAGTGTTGCCGAATGAGTAGCACGGATGACTGTAAATTTGTTTGTTCTGCACGCAGAAGATGGAGGGGTGTTTGGTTCCATCTCTTAAATTAAGTCCCTATCACATCGACAGTAAACATGTTTGACACTATTTGAAGTATTAAATATAAATTAATTATAAAACTAATTATATAGATTGAGACTAATTTGTTAGACGAATCTATTAAGCCTAATTAGTACATGATTTGATAATATAGTGCTACAGTATATGTGCTAATGATGAATTAATTAGGCTTAATATATTCGTCCCACGAATTAGTCACAGCTTTTATAATTAGTTTTATTATTAATATCAACATCCACAATAGATATAATATGCGATGTGACGGTCTCATAGATCTTTAGTCCGGATCAAAAGACCCCCGAAGTGTCTGTGGCCAGCTTGCTGTAAAATGTACAGTAGTATATGCTTTGAATCATTTTGGGGATCTGGTCGTCAGAAAGCAGGAAAAATGTCACATCGCTCGACTGGCGCGGATTCTGTCTATTTGATCAGTAACGCACGCCGCCGTCACATGACATGCAGCAGAGGGGTTGCTCGTGGAGCTTGTCAGGATCAGGACTCAGGACTCAGGAGGGGGCTACTTCCCTGCTAGTTTTAGCATGTTATGATCAACGTATGATATGATATAATGCAGGCATCAGGGAACAGTTACCCGACCGAGATCTACCATCTATGCATGGAAAGTTTTCGTGATTGTTCTGGCCAGATCTGGTTCTGTTAGACATCCGATGCAACCACTAGGAAACGAGGACTAGCAGCTAGGCTGCATGCATGAGCTTGGCAACCGAGTTCAGCTAGACTGGTTTCGAGGACTACAGGTATGCATGCATGCATCCGGAACATACGGGCTCCAATCCGGTCAAACGTAATTTGGCATGCTTTGCCTTTTATTATCTCCTGTAGGATTTTTTTTTGTGCAATTTTGATCGGTATTTTTTTAGAAAAATAGCAAAAAGAAATGCATTTGTAGAATTTATCTTTTTGCGAGTACATTTATACAAATTTTGCTATACTACTGTTCCCTTATAACATTCTATACTGAGATTGTGAAAGTAATTTTGAAGACATATAATTTACACATAGTATGTATGATATAATGATTTAAAATTGAACATTGAAAGTTTTTGGCGGTCAAAGTTTGAATTTATTGGCTAAATCCTTATGAAAAACGTGAATTAACAAGAGGAGGGAATATTAAGAACTTGTAAGTTGTAATCTTATCAAGCCCTTTTGTTTATAACTCTCTGAAAACAAAAAAGAAGTGTCCAATAGATCGAACAAACTTCCCTGCATTGCCATTCAGGCCTCCTTTGGATTGGAGGATTTTTCATAGGAAAGATGGAGGATTTCATTTCCTATAGGATCAAGAACTGTTTATGCCTTTGGATGGAGGATTGGACCATAGGAAAACTAAAGAAAACTTTCCTATCCTACTCATTTCAAAGGAAGATCGTAGGAAAAGAAACATCTACCTGAACCTCATTTTTCTCACCCCTTCGCATAGGATCGAGGCAAATGTGCTAGTTGACGCTGATGCAAAGCTCTAAAAAGTGGCATGCAAGTGGAGCATTTGAAGATCAATATTGTATGACTACAATAATTTATCAATCTTTCCAATTCCTTTCCTGTGCTCCATCCAAACGGTTTACTCCTTAGTTTTTCTGTGTTTCTCAATCCTCTGTTTTGCGTATGCATTCCTATGAAAATCCTATGTTTCTCCTATTCATGTGTTTGATCTTTCATGCGTTCCAAAGGGCCCCTCAAATTCAATCCCATTGGACAAATTTACTTTCTCCATTGGACATTGGCCGAAGAGATGATTAATTCCGATGATAGTTAAACAAAGAAATGATGAGGCTACGAAGTTTCACCGTCCTCTCCTCTCTTATGTGTTCTGAACCAAGCTTTCAAGAATCTATCTGTGGGTTAGGGTTGCCAACTTCACAACTTGCCCTTGGGGAAACAATGATCAATGAAACATGTAGCCGCCGTGGGCAAACGACGAGCACCGATATACGCAGAATCACGCACCGCCAGCGCTAGGAACAGAGGCACAGAGCAGCGCAACGTGGAAGGGGACGACGCGGTCAGCAGTACGTTTCAATCATGCCCTCGGGCGCGACCAAGCGAGTGTCACACGCCGCTGAGCTTGCTTTGGCGCCATGGCAACGAGCCAAGGCGTCCAGTCCAGCACCTGCCAATCCCACTGGCTCTCCACGTGAGCTGTTGCTGTGCCTGCGCTGCATGCCGCCATTGCCACTGCACCAATGCCCCGGCCCGCACAATAATGCCCCGGCCCCATGCCGCCAGCACCCGCCTATAAAAACGGCGAGCTCCGACGACGCCTCCCGCCACACACAGTACGTACGAGCATCTAGCAGCAGCAGCAATGGAGTCCACCAAGCTCTCCGCGCTGCTGGTGCTCGCCATGCTCGCGCTCTCCTCGTCCCCGCTCGCTCTCGCGTGGGAGAAGGCGGAACCGGAGTGCCACTCGTGCGAGTCCGGCTCACCACCCTCAACCGGCGGCCCCCTGCCCCCTATCAGCATACCGTCAGTCCCCCTGCCGCCTGTCAGTATACCGTCGTTGCCCCTGCCGCCTGTTACCGAACTGCCACCGGTCACCCTCCCTCCCATTCCGATCATCGGAGGAAGCCCGCCGAAGAAGGGCCACCGGAAGGCGTGCCCGCCGCCTCCGTCTCCCCCGACGCCGACGCCGACGCCGACGCCGTCCTCGGACAAGTGCCCCATCGACGCGCTGAAGCTCGGCGCGTGCGTGGACGTTCTCGGCAACGAGGTGCACATCGGTGACGCCAACGTCAAGTGCTGCCCGCTCGTGAAGGGCATCGCCGGGCTCTCCGCGGCGGCGTGCCTGTGCACCGCCATCAAGGCCAAGGTGCTGGACATCTCCGTCTACGTGCCCATCGCGCTGGAGGTGCTCGTCAACTGCGGCTGCGCCGTCCCGCCAGGCTACAAATGCACTTAAACGAGTCCATTCCATTTCCATCCATCACGCGTGCACAGCAACGTCTCCTTTTGCCATCCCCAATGCAAAGCTTCGAAGGCTCGTCGACGGATTTGGGTGGAAGCCGCTCGCCTCCGGGCTGTTCAGCTAGTGCATTCTTCTTTCTTTCATTTGATTTGCTGTTCTTGTTGCATGACTGTATATGCATCTAGTGTCTCCTCAAATGTCACTTGTACTTTTGTGTGATCTTGTATCAAACTATTTTTTTTTCGGATTCGATTATTGTTTGAAGTGTTAAATTAAGCCGCATTGTCAACATCGTTTATTCAAATCTCCAGAAACTGGCAACATGTCAGAAGCATACTCGCCTGATGATTCAATTCAGAACATCGCTACAAGCATTGTGCTTCTGAACTTTCATATATCTAGCAAACATGTCAGAGCGCCCACGTAACTCTGTATGCAAGAGACTGTACACAGCCTGTTCGGTTGGCTACACGGCCTGGTTGGCTGGTTCATATCGTTGCTAGTTCGTGAAGAAGTACTGCTGGCTAGTTTGTGTGAGAGAAAAATACTGTTCCGGCTGAAAATTTACGATCGTTTACGACAAGCCACAGTCAAACGAACATGCCGACTTCGACACAATGTTAAGAGATATCTAAGCATCATATAATCCATAAGGGTAAGCATTATTTATGTACAAATCGACCGTACTAAGTCGAACTCCCCATTTGAGACCACCTGTGTTTCTCCTTCTAAAGCTGGAGATACCTATCGAGCACTGTAGATCTTTGGTGACATACTAAGAACTACTAGGAGCAGCCTCCAGTAAGCTCAAGTACTCTGCAATAGCCTGCCCTTCGTTACTGACATCAATATCGTAGTCATCCAAGGCATCTCCCGTCAGTTCATTGGCAAGCTCATTTTCCATCGACGCATCCCTGGCTGGAACTGGATGAGAGTTTGCGCCTTCGTCTTCATCATCGGCAGCTACTTCATCAATCATAATTTCATCTTGGTTCACAGTTTCTTCATTGTTCATCGGAGGGGCATCTCCATCTGCAGTATATGGAGGAGCATCTCCTCCATCCGCAGGATGTGGTGGAGCATCTCCATCAGCAGGATGTGGTGCATCATTGACAGAAGTCTGAGAGCTGTTGATTGCTGGAGCAGCCCTGGCAACAGCTGCCCTGGAGCTCGATGATCCTGCACCAAACCCTGGCAAGAAAGAAGAGAACAGAAAAGGGAGTGAAATTTCATTACTCCAATTGATTTGAGGCCAAACAATTTTGGAGATCTGTGTTGACCCATACATACCACGAGATGCCCGGCTTCTCTTTGCCTGAATTTTACTCTGCAATTAAGCATACCGTGTTAGCAACTGTGGAGTAGCTTGTTGAGTAAAAGAAAACAAAGGGGGTGCAGAGAAAGGCATACTTGTAGGATGCAGTTTTGTTCAGGATTTGTCAAAAGGTCTAACGCTTTGTCAGCATCATTTTCATTTATGCGCAGTGCTTCTGCAGCAAGATACTTCTCAAATCTTGAAGATTGAAACAACCAGTCAGTAATAAGCAGGAAATACAGGCAGTAATACTCAGCGGCTATTTAAAATTAGCATCACCATGCACAAACAACACAAATATATTTTGCCTTTGTATCTGACATATAAGTACTCAATTGCTAGAAGGTCTGTGGCAGCCAGATAGGTGTCCTAAAACTATTTAAACACTTCTAGTCTTCTAAGGTTGGTCTACAATGTCTTTCACTAGATCAGATGAAACATGAAACCAATGATTTCAAGTCGTCCGATTAATCGCGATTAATCGTCCTAATCGGTCCTGGGTGCTCGATTAGGGACCTCGACCCGATTAGCTCGATTAGGGGCCTGGTCGTCCGACTAATCGTCGCCTAATCGCGATTAGTCGTCCGATTAGGGGTGGGACGACTAGTTTTGGCTGTTTTTTTTTGCTGCCGCGCGCGGGCCACTGGGCGAGCGCGCCAGAGCGCGAAAACGCAGCTGCGTGAGCGCGCGCGCGCGGGGTCACGGGCGCGCGGGTCACGGGCGCGCGCGAGCGTGGGAGGGATAAGGGGTTTTGGCTGGTAGCGACAAAAATTTCACGGGAAATTAACAGCCGCCGCCGGCCCTGTGCTCGCGACTCGCGAGTCGCGCCCGCCCTCTGCTCCGCCGGTGGCCGGCGCCCCTGCAGCCTGCTCCTGCCGGCGGCCCTCTGCTCCGGCGGTCCCGCCCGCCCTCTGCTCCCGCGGTGGCCAGCCGCCCAGCCCTCTGCATCCTGCTCCCGCCGGCGGCCATCTGCGCCAGTCCGCTCGCCCTCTGCTCCGCGGTGGCTGGCCATCTGCGGCTCTGCGCCCGCCCGCCCTCTGTTCCTGCAGGTGCCTGGTCGCTCAGCCCTCTGCTCAGGTGTCTGCTCCCGCCGCCTGCCATCTCCTCCCGCCGCCCTCTGCTCCAGCAGGTGGCCGGCCCTCTGCTGATCTATTCCCGCCGCAGCTGCCTCCCTGCCGTTCAGGTCCTTCCCTCATCCCCTGCTCCTCTGCCCTCTCATCTCTACTCCTCTGATTTGGATGCTTCATGTTCTCTCAGGGGTCAGGGGCTCAGAGTTAGAGCTGCATTCCTCTGATTTGAAGGCCTGAAGGTGCCGGCCCTCTGCTCGTTGGTGATGAGCTGCTCTGACGACTGTATGTCCATTTTCCCTCCCCATCTGCTCTCCTGACCTACATGGCTGCATCCTCTCTGGCTCTGCTAGTAATGCTGCTAACTATCAGCCTTGTGCTTGTACAGCTGTGGAGCGACGACGTGCAAACGTGGAAGTGATAATGCCGATGCCTGACCTTGACGGAGGTGTTCTACATTCATCATCTGGGTCAGGTGCAGCTGCCACGGCTTCCTCAGCTAGTCCAGATGTTGCAACACTAGTTGAGAGGGCTATTGCAAAGCTACCTCCAGAGCTTGCTGCCCAAGCTGTTGACACCAAAAGGAATGGAGTTTGGGACAGTTGGACAGTGAAGAAAAGGCAAGAAAACAACTCCCACAAGTCACTTGCTAAACACTAATGTAGTCTTGATGCTTGCTATATTGTGTACACTATATAGTACATATAGGTATATATATAGTATGTATATGTCCTGATGCATAGGACGATTATATGGACGACCAGGGTCGACTAGGCTCGACTAATCGGCCTGGTCGACGACTAATCACGATTAGTCGCCTAGTCGGTCCTATAGCGACTAGGTTCGACTAGAGTTGCAAAAGAAACCCTTTTGGCAAAAGAAACAATAATAGCTATTCTAAGATCCTTAGCCAACAGTAGCTATGTGCCAATAAAATAAAATATTACTACCTTTCATCACAAACATTTGGTCAATAACATTCCTCTGTAACAACTCCTACTTCAATTTGACTCAATGTTTGCAATCAACCAAATGTTGAATAAAATTAAGCCCATACACTATGATTGAGGAGCTGACATTGTTTTGGGTGGGTGTCTCAAGCATTCTGGTGGCCTTTTCAAACACTTCTATTTTGTTATGTCAGATTTACTAGCTGAATCAGGACTCATGTTTGGCCATTATACATCCTGTTTTTCCAGGTTTAGGCCCATTCCAGCTGGCAGTTTACTAGAACACATGGAAATACAATTAAAAACAACTCTTGATATTAATATGAAAAGACCAACATTCTTACCCAATAGCAGTCAAGCCTTTCAGCTTCTGCATGTCAACTGCCTTGTTCATGGGAGTTTTACCATATGCCATTTGTTCCCTAGGATAACACCAAGAAAGTTCACTACTCAGCTAAAAAAAAGATAAAGAGGGGAGGGTAGACTTCATGCTGAGGAGCTCACAGAATCTCTCTTTGTCTCACTCGGTCCTCCTCTCTTCTACGAATTTTCTTTTCACGCTCCTCACATAAGAGTTCAACTGATGATTGAATATCATAGCCAGTCATCTTCAATGCTCTTTTTGCAGATCGTGCTTCATAGCCCATATCCATTAACATCGATATAGCTTCCTCTGGTACTTGAAGCTAAAGTTCACATCCGTTTAACAAAATTTAAGGGTGAGACTGATTTGTTGAACATGAAAAGATGCTAAAGCACTGGGGGTTCAGAGGAATAATATGTTATAGGAAGAAAATAAAACATCTTTCTACAGAAATAATATGCTATAAGAAGAAAATAAAAACATCTTTCTACAGAATGTACCTGCAGGTATTTAGCATGGGCAGAAGTGAGAGATCCACGCGCCTTTTCAACATGACCATTATGGTATGCCACCACTCCTTCCAAAAGCTCCAGCCTTACATAACTATTATGCAACAAAGGAAAAAATGTATGCTAGGCGTCAACACAAGTGAACTGTAGAATGCTACAAAAGGAAAGTACCCATAAAGAACCAAGACAACAACAAGCTGAATAAACTCCCAGTTAGTTTCTTAAAAAGCATATATCTATATTTCTATAGCTCCTTCCCTCTACTGGTCTTTTTACCCTTTTAAAGAAAATGCTGGGACCTTCCATTCACACACACACAGAAACTTTTTTCCACAAATGTTCCCATACACAACATTTGTGTCTAAGTAGCAATTCAGACTTTTGATTGAAAATGAACACATTCAGTAATAAAAAAATATATAATACAGTAAGAGGCAAAATAAAAGTAAGGGTCTCACATAGCAAGATCAGCTTGCCGGCAAGCCTGGAGTATTCTGAAGCGAGTGGAATCTTTCCCATGAGAACGTTCAAAACCTAACCGTGCTTTTTCTAGGCGAGTCCCTGCGACCTCTAAGCATGATACATCACGAAGCACAAAATAACACCATACTATATCTAGTTGAAGCATTGGCACATTATCAACTTTCTGCAGAACATGTACATATAAGTAAAACTTTCAGCATGTTATTGATACAAGTGGGAATATTCTTGAATATTCAAGTTACCTCAATAAGCTTTGGGTCACAAAGGGAGAAAGCTTCCTGTTACGGCAACAAAGAAAATGTCAAT